TTTCTATCTTCGACAGGGGATTTCCAAGGTTGTTGCCAAAACAAGGAAAGGGCATGGAGCCCTCTGTGGGAGTTGGGGGTGCAAGAAGGGGACTATCAACAGAGAAATGGCATATACCACTTCCCCCCCTCCCCCTTCCACTGACCAAAACTTTGTCACTTAACTATACGCAAATGCCAGGACGCAGGGAAATGTAATCTAGCTGTGGGCCAGAAGGAAAAGGAAACAGGTGTGGTGAACAGCTAGCCAGGCTCTGTCAAACCCATAAAGGGAAAGGGACAGATACCAGGCTTGCAACTTGACTTCCCCTCATTTTTTTATTTTTGAATCTTTGTTCTGGGATTAAGAGATTTGGGTGGATGGTTTGGAAATGTATCTTGCTTTTAGTGAGGGTCCTTGAGGTGTTTGAAACCAGAAGACTAAAAGGAGTTGATGCTAACTGTTCTTGAATGGTTGTGAGAAATATAAGCAGAGTTCAGGTCTAATTGGGAAAGAACTCCGTATTTTAGGAAAGTGACTCATTCATGGGCAGAGAGAGACTAGATCTCTCTTGTAAAGAATGGAACAAATAATACCATTCTTTGCACATAGAAATAATTTTCTTTAAAAAAGGCTTTTTTTTAACATTAGACATCGGGCTTGGATTTTAGTTTTATATTACCTATATTCTCAATGCTTACATCACTGTATTTGATAAAAAGTGTTCTTCTGTTGTGGGATATATTCTTATTTAGTTTTTCCATCTAGACCAGGAAGCAAGCCTGTCCCTCCCCAATACGCCATTAGCACACAGACTTCTCCACATTCTGTCCTCAAAACTTACTCCTGGAAGGTCTTTGTTTCAGATCGTGAGTGGGAAACGGGTCTGAACCCTGCAAGCCCTCAATCGGTGAATGCTCCCTGCTGGTCCTCTCATCACCCAGAGTTCTCCTATGACCGTCTCCAGGCTGCCTGACACCCAAACATCTTTCTCACTTCCCACCTCTACAGAATTGTGTAGCATCTGGGTTGAAATTAAGAATGTTGTCCATTCACTTAGTATAAACTCAGAGAGGGGCAGAAAGCAGGGTATCCTGACTAAATAGTTCTGAATTTCTATCTTAAGAACTTCGGCTATTACTCAGGTACATAAATGTGATTATATTGGTCAGGGTTTTCCATAGAAACAGGTGTGTGTGTGTGTGTGTGTGTGTGTGTGTGTGTGGGGTGTGTGTGTGCGTGTGTCCTATTGTGTATATATATATTAAAAGATTTATTTTAAGGAATTGACTCATGCAATAGTGAAGGCTGGCAAATCTGTAGGGCAGACCAGCAGCCTAGAAATTCAGGAGTTGATGTTGCAATCTTGAGCCAGAATTTCTTTTTCAGAAAACCTGTTTTTGTTCTTAAGGCCTTCAACTGATTTGATTAGGCCTACTCGTGTTGTTGAGAGTAATCGCCTCAAGGTCAACTGAGTGTAGGTGTTAACTATACCTACAAAATACCTTCATAGTAACACCTAGATTCGTGTTCCATTAAATCACCACATACTAAAGCCTGGCAAACAGAGAAAACTAATCAACACAGTAATTAAAGTAATGAAAATGTGATTGTGTTGTTTACCTCCTTGGAGTTATTTCCTTTTCATGTCGGAAACCTTTATGAAAAAAAAAAAAGACAACACTTTCATAAGTGCTAATGTCAAATTTGTTGGTCCATCAGGATGCTTTTTCTTAAAGAGTCTGTAGTTCGGTCTAAGCAGAATATCAACCGCACTAAAGGTTTTTGACTTACGCTTGGATCTTAGTTGTCTCCTCCTTCTCCATAGTTCAGTGATTTCTCAAGCTTTGATAAAAAATGAAAAGTGAACTCTAACTTCTAAGACTGTCTCCCCTACACCCATGAAATTCCAGTTCTGATAGTATATGTCACTCTTCCTTTTTATCAGTGCCTTCAGGTATTTGCAGCTTCAAAAGACATTCTCTTAAAAAATCAAATCTGAAAATATTCAAAGGACTGGCCTTCAGCTCTGCAAACTTTTCACAATAATGTACATGAATGTAGTTTGTTAAAATCTGCTTCTTTTCATAGCCGGTGTCTTGTGAGCAATTTCTGGGAAATGTTGGTTATAAGATAAGCTCTTTTCAGTCGGTTTCAAAAGGTGACCCCCAGGTAGGTAATCGTCAAGTAGAGGCATCTATTCAGAGAAATGAGGGGGTGAGCAAACTCCTCTGGGCCCACCATTGTGAACCTACCCATTCAGCACTTGAAAAACAGCACTGAGTACCCAGCAGGCAAGCTCACTGAAGAGCCTCCTGCCCCCACACGCAGGTGCATTGAGTGTGATAGGGGAGAGCTTCGGCATTTTGTATTTTAACTTTTCGACACAAATTCTAAAGCTGGGGAAAAGGGCAAGAAAACAGCCAGGCTTCAACAGATCCGTCCTTGAGTCACTCTGTTAAGTGGAACTGGGTAATTGTCTCATTGGAGATCTGCATAAACAGCTTGTGGGAAAGAATGATTTGTACCTGACATATATTCACTAGCTTGTGCATCAAAAGGCCATACGTGGATAAAAACCATGATCTTGGCATTCTTTGCACTCTGCAGCCTTTAGACTTGAAGGGCAGAAGCCCACGTGCACAGGTTACCAACCTGTCTTCTCCCAGCCCCGCCTGCCTGGCAAGCCTAGGCGGCGGGTGGAGGTGGTGGGAGGGGGCAGCTGGAACTCCCCAGGATTTGAGTCAAAAGAGAGTGGAGAAGGAGGATGCCTTGTGCAAATAGGCACTCCATTAAAGGTCTATTTTGGGTTTCTTGGGACCTTCCTATTGGTCTAGCTTAAATTGAAAGGGGATTTGGTTTGCCTCACTGGTTGTTTCCTCCCACTCATATCACAATTACAGCCTTGTTCATTGTCATTAAAATACATTTAGTATGCACCATTTTTGCATGGCCCACTGCTAAAATCCACACACACAAAAACTATCCCTAGCCCCGAAATAGTGGAAAGAGCACTGGACACCAAAAGAGAAGGCCTGGGTTTCAATCCTGGGTCCACCTGGGAATGTTCAATAAAAACCTTAGTTGCAAGGAACAAACCCTCACTAGAATCACCTCACAGTGATTGCGCGGAACAGGGTGTTGACTGTAAAGATACACACGCACCTTGAAGTGGAAATGTGAAGCCATCAGGAACCAGGGAGCTAGGCTGGGCGTCAGTTGTGCTTTCTTTCCTGCTGTGTCTGATTCCTTCTGTGGGCTCCTCCTAACTCCAGCCTACTTCCCCCCAAAAGCTCTCGTTTGGGATCCCACTACTAACTTCTTTTCCTTGTTTCTTAATTCAAACTCTCAAGCTATAATATGATTGTCCCAGCTCATTTTTTAAAGACAAACCTTATATGGGCTCCGTAAGGATTGGCTGATTGTGGAACAAAGTTAATCAACTGCCTGTTCCAGATAAGCCTTCATCAGCCTACTTCCTTCTCTCAGAGAAGTGTGGCAGGCCAGGCATTCTGAGGCTTGGCTTGTCCAAAACACTTGGGCAGGTTATTAACTTCTCCTAGACCTCATTTCTTTAATTGTATTATGATGGTGGCACCGGCCCCAACCCACAGAGTTATTACTTATGCATTCAAAAATCATTTATTGAGTTTCTACACAAAGCACTTCTGTTGAGTGCTTTTCAGGCACTGCTCAGCAATGGGAAGACAGATGTGAACAAAACCGATGCATATCTGCCTTCATGAAGTTGGCCGTCCAGGATCAAACGAGATTGTTTCTGTGGAAACATAGCCCCCACCCTCCTACCTGCAGCCCCACAGTAGACCCCAATGTTAAGATTCCTTCATTCTTTTATTCATCAAGGGTTTCTTGAGCATCTACTATAAATCACTAGAGAACCAAAGATAGAGAAGACATGGTTTCTGATCTCAAGTGGCTCATGATCTATTTTAGAAATAACTATGCAAAGCAAATAGTGATGGTACAAAAGCACAAGTTAGCAGGTAGAATATGAGATACAGAAAAGGGAACAACAGTTTGTCCGTACAAGTCAAAGGAGGCTTCCCAGAGGCAGCAACACCTGAGCCGAGACTTAAAGGATGAGGAGGAGTTTCTCATATGTTCAGGCAGTGGAAGGGTAGGGTGAGGACGAGCTATGGACGTTCTAAGCAAAGAAGATAACGTGCAAAGCATAGAAGTTGTACAGATTATGGGGAGTTTCACGATACAGAAACACTCTAGGATTTTTGGAACATATAGCTTAAGGAATATAGCAAAAAAAAAAAAAATGAAGCTACAAAAGTACTAGAGGCCAAATTATCACATAGAACCATGAATGTATTTTAAATTTTATCCCAGGCCCCATGGGGAATCATTAAAAATTTGGAGTAGTGCATTAATCTCAGTAATTGATCTGAATAGTCTCTGATTTATTTTTTACAATGAGCATCCTTTGGGACAGAGCAAGGCTGGACTAGAGGAGGGTCAGACCAGAGGCAGAGGGGAAGTAAAGAGACAGTTGTAACAATCTCAAGGAGAGATGATGAGGACCTGAACTGATGAGGCAACAGTAAGTAGGAAAGGAGGTGAGCATCTCCAAAGAGCTTTAGAAGGTAGAAATGACAGAACTTGGTGATTGTTTTGGAAGTAGGGAAGAAAAAGATGAGAAGATGCCTTCCATGTTTCTAGCCTGAAAGACTACGGAGGAGAGGGACACTGGCCCCCAGAGAGGGAGTTCAGGAAGGAAGCAGGCAAGGAGGCGCTAGTTAACTCCTATGTGGACAAGTGGAATTGGAAGCATTTCGGCATGTGTGCAGAGATGTTGAGTGGCTCTGCAGCTGGGGTTGCAGGCCTCTTGCTCAAAACAGGAAGCTGGGATGAAGGTCTATGTGTGGAGGCATCAAAATGTGGATGCACCTGAGACTAGAAGGTCAAGAGAAGGTGCAGTGTGAGAGTGAAAGGATCTATGGCAGGGAGTGTGGATGGACACCTCTTTGCAGGACAGAGACCAGTAAAAGGAGACTCTGTCTTTGGAAGAAAAACCCACCATCCCTAAAACTAGCTGTTCACTCCCATCCTGTCTCTTAGGAGTATGCTCTGGATGGAGACAGAATAAATTATTATTCCCTGAGAAATATTAGTGGTGTTTGCCTTAAGTAAGAATTTATGTGGCCCAGGATAAGGATAAGCTATAGTTTCAGCTGAGGGGCAGCTTCGGGGAAGATGTTCTCTGACAGGTTTAGCAATGGGCTGTCTTTTTCATGCTCCATGAGGCTCTGGCCCAATCCAGGACCCACTGCTCTACATCCCCACTGTGGATACAAGAAACTGAACTGGAAAACATTGGTTCTAGAGAAGAATCGAAGATGGGGAAAACAACTACCTCTGGGTTAGCTGAAAGGAAAAACGTTAACGAAGCAGAAACTGAAGACTGAAGGAAGCAAGAGAGGTAAGTGGTGGAGATTGAGAATGCCCCTGAGGGCTCCAGAGCAGAGGTGAAGGGGCGGGCCCTGGACAGGAGGTAGCAAGAAGAAACGAGTCAGGAGGGTGGCCCAGCTCACTGGGCAGAGGAAGGGAAAGGAAGTCACATGTCGAAGGTGAGACAGTTCACACACAGAGCTTAAATTACTGAGAATATGGAGAGATTGGAACGAGGCTTTCTGAGAAGAAGGAGCACATGCTTATGCATTGTGGGCTCCAGAACAGGTAGCGAGTCAAGATGGACCTGGTGAGGGACCATAGCTGTATAAAGAACAAGCCAATACATGATTACAATAAAGTGTACATAATATCTATGTATTATGTATTATTTGGAGATGAAAGTAGTCATCTCATATATTCTAGTTTTTCAGTAGAAAAGAGCTCAGAGAAAGCCATCGTATTTCCTTTGATAAATCTAGAATAATTCATAGAGAATACTAAGAGAAAATGCAAGATTTGAGGTTTAGGCAAGAAAAGTACATGGAAAGGAATTGTGGTGGCTTCTAGGAGCTGAAGATGGCTTCTAGCTGACAGCCAGCAAGAAATTGAAACTCTCAAAGAACTGAATTCTGTCAACGATCTGAGTGAGCTTTTTTAAAATTATATTTTATTATTGGCTTCAAGTATACAGTACATTGGTTAGAACGAGTGAGCTTTGGAGCACATCCTTCCCTAGTAGCACCTCAGATGAGACCAGGCCCTGGACAACACCTTGTGCAACCTGTGGGACCCTAAGAACAGGTCCTAGTTAAGCTATGCTCAGGATCCTGACTCACAAAAACTGTGAGATAATAAATATGTGTTGTTTTAAGCTGCTAAGTTTGTAATAAAATTTTTGTGCAGCAATAGAAAACTAATACAAGGCGCGATGGTTAATTTTACGTATCAACTTAACTGGGCCATAGGGTGCCCAGATATTTGATGAAACATTATTCTGGATGTTCTTGGATGAGATTAACATTTAAATAGGACTGAGTAAAGCAGATTGCACTCCCTAGTGTGGGTGGGCCGCATCCAATCAGTTAAAGGCCTGAATAGAACAAAAAGGCTGACCTTTCCCCAAGTAAGAGAAAATTCTTCCTGCCTGACTACCTTCAAACTTGGACGTCAGTTCTTTTTCCTACTTTCAGACTCAAACTGAAACATTGGTTCTTCCTGGAGCTCAAGCCTGCCAACCTTTGAACGAGAACATGCCATCAGCTCTCCTGGTTCTCTGGCCTTCAGGATACAAAAGGACATACAGATGTCATTGCAGTATTTTTTTTTTTCAACATTTCTACATGCTTGAAAAATTCAGAATAAAAATTGGGAAAATGTGAAGTCAAGAAGTGTCAGGAGACTCTTCAAAGAAGGTGCCTATGAAGAGTCACAAAACTTTCTCTCTCCCTTATTCTCGACCTCTCTCCTTTCTCTTTTTCCCTCAGTAAATTTACTTTATTTAACATGAGATTTTATAACTCACAGTGGATACTGTAGTTAAACATAAATAATAATTCTACCCCTCTTTTGTGCAGATTTATGCTCTGTAAACATTACACTGAGAAAATATGGCCTTAACCTTTGTTCTGCAAATGTTTCAGAATTTTTTCTACTGCCACATTATAAGATAAATGTCAGTCTAAATGAAGGCTTTTCTATAAAACTCAGCAACTTCACAGATGGCCTTTAATTCATGGCCATAAAAGATAAAACTATATTTTTTTGGTTGAAAATAATTTCAAAAGCTCTTCTTAAGTCCCCAGAAGAACATAATGCTACCTACTCTTGATGCTGCATGAGGTCAGTTAAATAAACTCAGACACTGTTCTCCAGAAGTTATCAACCAAACTGAGAAAATTACATAAAAATTACCTGGAATGAATATAACTGCTTTTTTCAGAAACCTCAATAATGACAGATGGCCAAATAACTGCTTTGCCCCAGGATGCTTTCTCTGATGTGACTCGATGAATTATCCTATACAGAAAGTGCACAAGGTTAGCCAGAGGCAAATGACAGAGATATGTCTCAAATTCATTTTCTGAAAAACATACCTTGAGAAAACCTATAACCACTGAGATATTTTTAAGGAGGTCTGTTACATAGTACAGCAGAGGTTCTCCACTCTGGCTGCACACAGGAATCACCTGGAGAGCTTAAAAAAGTACTGGGGCCAAAGTTCCCATCCCCTCATCCCAGAGAATCCAATTTTGGTCTGGAGAGCAGCCTGAGCATCAGGATTTTTTAAGTTTCCCTAGTTATTCTAATTAGTAACATTAGAATAGTGAATAAATGAACTTTTTACATATTCTTAGTTTACATTCAGAAACTAATTTGAATCAACTTTAAAGTATTAAACAATGGTGCTCTATGACCTAGGCTGCTCGTGCTATACCAAAATACACAGACTCAGAGGGAAAAACAGAAGGTCTAAGATGGAGAAAGGATTCACAACGCTGTCAGATCAGAAATAGCTATAGCAACAGGTAATACTGGGGCTGAAAAGAAAGACCTGGTAATACTTAAGAGCTGCCTTCATATAACTCAAGGGTACACTCGAGGGCAGAGATAGGGTCAAGGATGATAGCTAAAGGAAGCTAGATTTTGGCATAATATAAGACTTTCTTTAAAAGCAGTGTTGTGTGGGATTAGATTGGTTGCTTTGAAATTGTGAATACCTGGTCACTGCTGAAATTCAGACATTGGCTTGTTGACTTCTAGGCCAGGTTGCTTCAGAGGAAACCAAAGAAAATAAATGCTATATTAACCATTTGGGGTTTTGTTTGTTTGTTTGTTTGTTTTTTGGCTGTCCAATATCTCTTTGCTCTTTTCTTACTAATAGCCTCCTGGGTTTTTTGATGGTCCACTCTTCTCCTGCTCTCAGTTCTGATGAAACTGACTCTTTGTATACCTCTAGAGGATGCACTCCTAACTGGAAAACTGTGGTCTCCCTACACAGTGACTGGTTTAAGAATGAGCAAATAACGCATTGGGCCAATCAGAGCCAACAAGATTACATTCTGGAATTTTTGAAGACTCTCTTTCACTAGATTTAAAATTGTGAGAATGTGATATGGAAAATATGAACTCAAAAAATGAAAAGAAGAGAAGGAAATTTCAAAACAATCTTATTAATAACCTCAGAGAGATTAAAGAATATATCTATGTAATGAGAGAATGATACTATGGAAAAAGAATATTTAGAAACCAAGAAAGAGTTCTTGGATATTAAAAAATATGATGCTACTTCTCACACACAAAAAAATCAGTTTATCAATGTACATTGCCTGTGTTCAAGTGTCCTTAGCAGCATACTCCATTCAATGGACTATTTGATAAACTACCTTTTATTATACTACTAAGCTGCCTGGATTCTGCTAACAATTGTGTATATGAAGTATTTTTTTTATATTTTCCATAAACCTCCATTGTTAAAAATTAATTAAAATATGTTAACAATCACTTACGAAGTTGAAAGATAAATTTGAGGAAATCTTACCAAAAGTAGAACAGAGACAGAGATTAAAAAAAAAAAGAGAGAGAGAGAGAGAGAAATTATATATATAATTAATCCAAGAGGATTAACCTCCTAAGAATAGGAAGACCCAGAAGAACAGAAGAGAGAAAACAGAAACAAACAAATTATCAAAGAAATAATGAAAGAAAAATTCTTAGAATTGAAGAACAGGAGTGTTTATAGTAAAAGATCTCACCACTGAAAGCACAACAAAAATAAATTTAATAGACCCATAGTGAGGCACATCATAATTGCCTCTGAAGACAATTCTTACTATAACAGGGCTTATAAGAAAGTAAAATTCAAAATGTAGCATTAAAGAAGGGTCTTGCCCAGTACTGAAATGCAAATCCAAATAATGCCTTGTTTTCATAAGACAAATTTCAAAAAAGCTTTAAAAAAATCTTAAAAACATTTTTAAAACTTGATATTTTAAGAAATTCTATAGTGACCTCTTTCATAAATATGGTGACCAAGATCTCCTGATCCGAATGAGGCTAAAAGACAAAGTAGGTGACTCGAGAGAGGGAACCAAGAAAAAAGTCTTCCTTTAGGACTCTGTCCAGTGGATGGCAAAGGGCTCCTGCGAATACTACATGTGACCGATTTCTCAAGATGACTTAAAGCTCCAAAGTTTTCTCAATAAAGGACCGAATACACAATTTACAAATGCTACCATTGTGTAAAAATATATCTATAATATGGCCAATTATAAAAGTTTACAAATTAAAATAACAAGTTTTGATAGTATGTTTCTATGATCTTTTTATTCACCCATAACTTTTTTTAATATTGTTAGATTAGTTTTGCAGTTAAAACATTAAGTCCCTTTTCTTTTTCTTTTAAAATAAATGGCCCCAAGTACAAAATGATAACTTTAATTCATTTTGTTTACTCTCATGACATGTTCCAAGATAATTTCCATTGGTATTAGAAGTAAAATGTTAAGGGATGTTTAAGCTCTGTGAAGTTGAATAGAATAGCATGTAAATGACAGAATATAATTACACATCTCTAAGAATATAGTACAAAATGTACCCAATCTTACCTCTTCATACTTAGCTGAGAATAGAGTGCTTCTGTGAGATATGAGATTAATAAAATATCAAAAGAAAAAATAATTTTGGAAGAACCAACTCTTCCTAATTAGAGCTATCAGAGCTGGAAGAATAATTGCTAAAATTTAATAAAATCTGTATTAACTATATTTAGCATCTATACTAATTGTGTGTCAATGAAATCTACCTTTTAATTTCATTTTATTGTTTTCCAAGACCAAATACTCCATCTAAACTTATAAGACCCCTATAGGCAAAAACCATATCCTATATTTCTCTTAGTTCAAGTTCCCCCTAAAGCAGAACTTAGACAATGTCTGGGAGCAGGTAGTTTATTGGGGATGTGATCGTAGGAAGCAGAAATGAGAATAAACCAGGAAAGGAGGAAAAGTTTTTAAAGGATGCTTTCTCAAGGTCACTCTTAGGACCTGGAGGCCTGGATGAAATTAGATGTAGTCCAACGGGATGAGACGTGGAACATCAAAAGCATTTGCTATGCTCACATACCCAGAATCTTGCCCTACACTCAAAAAACTCTCAGTAAAAGCTTTGAGTCATTTAATAATTCCAGTGGCCCCTAAGGCTTCCTGCTCCAATTATTTGATATTGTCAAAGATTATCTGAGAAGCTGCACATTTTCTTTTACAACTATGTTCCAGGATCTCATTTCATCTTGTCAGGTCCATGTGTCTTTGTAGCAAGTAACAGAAACCTTCTCATGTTAGCTTAAACTAAGGGGTACTTATTATGAGGCTATGGGGTTATCTCAAAAGTCCCAAAATGAGCCTCAGGCTGAGTTTGGACTTGGAAATCTGAAGGTGGCCCTCTTCTCTGCATGCTGATTTCTTCTCTGCAGTTTTAAGTGAGCCATCATGCTAAGTGGGGCTGGCAATCAGTAAACCAACGTTTGTTGCCTGTATTGAGGCGGTGCTGTCAGCGATTCAGAGACATGACTCTGGACTTTAAAGAGTTCAAAATTTTGCTAAGAAGGCAAGGCATGTAAAGAAAGTCTGCATGTAAACTAGGATCTCATGATCGCTCCATGTAAGCATTATTGGAACTCACAACAGTTCTGTTCCATAGTGGTTAGGTGGTCAGCAAAGTCTCCATGGAGGAGGTGAGTTGGGTTTCCAAGAAGGTGTAAGATTTAGAAAAGCAGAGAGGAAAAGATAGGGCAGGAAAGAATGCTATGAGCAAGCAAGGGATCAGAGGAAGGAATGTATCCAGTTCATTTCCAAGAAATGACTTGACCAATGGCAACAGTGATCCACCCACACTGTTTAACTCCCTACCGAATGCTGGTCAGGATGGTAAACCAGAATCTATTAAGATGATGGAAACGTCTTCCTGTTCTTTTCTAACTACACTTCAGTTGTTGACTTGTATGAGATTTTGAAAATTGTCTGCACAGAATATGGCTTTGGTAAATATCCTAGGTGAACTCTCTTATATAGTCACAAGCATAATCACTCTCAACCAGGATCAAAAAACACTTAAAATTAGAACATAACAAAGGGGTTCTAAACAGCAACAACAACAACAAAAAGGTGCTTTTCTGTTCTAAGAAGCCTTGACACATAGGTATTTTTCCACAGAATTTAGAGATTTGGATTTCATTACATTAGTAAGAAGGCCTCATAAGCCATTTAACATTATATGCTTAAAATTATTTCCTCTGAATTAGAAACAAAACTAAAAGCGACCTTAATTCTTAATTTTCTAGTTCTTAATCTTCCCATTCTTTAAGAAATAGAACATCTTTGACTTAAATCCATAAACCATCAAATTATCCTATTATACAATAATTAGGTACCACCTAAACATTATTTTAACACAGACTATAATAATCAGTTATTTTCATTATATTACTATATAAAAACACTTTTACCAAATATTTTCAAAGTATTAAAAATATATTTTAATATTGTATCTTTTTTATATGTATTTATTTATTTGTTTAATATTGTATCTTAACCAGGTGATCATTTCCTAGTTTGCTTTCTTCCTTCTGCGTATTTGTTAAACAGAAGCTACAACCTCAGCCCAGTGGGAACGGTTCTTGTTTGAAGGAGTCTTTTTCCCTGGAGTAACGTATGCTGGACTTTTCCCACTAAGGCTTGTCCCAGTTTAGCCTGAATTCTCTAGTCTTCTCCATGCTGAGATATTCCATTTCTCTACATAGTCACCAGTCTAGTTTGAAGATAGTTCTTTTTGTTTTTGTTTCCACAGCAGAGCCTTTGCTCATCCAATATTGTAACTTTGGAAAATATTAAAAAGATCTATAGTGGGTATAAATCAAATGATTAAATGAAATGCAACTTTAAAAGGCAATATCATGCAGGAGAGATGAGTTCTCCTGAAGCACATCAGTGCTTTTGATACATCTCATCTGCCAATAACATAACATTAAAGCATACTGCATGGTAGTGATGCCTGAGAAAGCAGTTTTAAATATCTGTTTTCAACCCTAAATGAGTCAAATTCCACCCACCCAAATGATTTATTAGTTCTTGGGGGAAAGGGAGGTGAGCGGGTGCATAATTAATATCTGCCCAACATATAAAGCAAACACCTCAAACTGAAGGAATAATTCTACCTAACAACCAGATAGCGTCACCGACTGGTGAGAAGTCCAGTTGCAATGAGATTCTACTAGGCGTGTCACTATCCAGATCAAAGGAAGAGGAGACAGATGTTCTAGAAGTTAAAACTAGATTCATGAGAGTTTCGAATGGTTACAAGTACCTACAGGTTATTTGTTTGCTTGTTTTTGTTTCTTTTAAGTGTTTAACGCTTAGGCTGTTTGCCCATGGATCCTGGGGATGAGAGGAGAAATTCTAGCTTGGCCCTGGCTCTGAGACGACACTATTCTTAGCCAACCCTGCGTTCCAGTGGCATCTCAACACCTAGTCGGCCTGTCTCTGGGGCAATGCTCTGACCTCATGACTTGACTGTGCTATTGCCCTGGCCTCATAACCAGATAGACACTTTGTGATCTCAGTTCTGCAAACTAGGTACCTGCCTGTGCCACTCCCTTCCCCATCCTGCCTGTCTTTCCTGCCAAATAACACAACTCTCCAGGAGTGGTATCTGAATATAATCCCTGTTCTTCCACTAATTGGCTGTACAATTCTGGTAAATGATTTAGCTAGCTTGAACCTCTGTTTTCTTATTTGTAAAAGGAGGGGTTTAGATGA